ACCTGACCGTGCGCAGGTCAGTGGACACCACCAAACTGGGGTGAGTAGTGCAGACATTGAAGGTAAGCTCCATGGGGTTCAGAAGGATGAGAAGGCTATCCAGGAAGCGGACCATTTCTGAGCGGAAGTCTTGGGTTTTGAGCTCTGCCTGGAGACGCTTGGTGTTGAGTGGAGCCTTTGAGGGCATTGTGGTGGGAATACTTACCGTGACGATATCTTTAAGTTTCTGTTCAATCATAATAAATCTGGAAAAGACAACAAAAACAACCTAACATGCCGTTTTCTTGACAAGTTTGAACTAATCACTTGAAGTTGTAGTGCATATTTATGTAATGTACCATTTTTAATAGTAAAAAAAAAAAATGATTTTTTTTGTACCTGTGAATAAAGACACATGTGTCCGACTCACTGAGGGCCTGTGTAGCACTCTTCTGGGCCTCAATCAGCTGCTGCTGTTGCTCCTCCAGTGCACTCACTCCAAACTGCCAGCTTTTCCTACGCTGCCCTCTCTCCTCTTCCAACAGCATGCACAGCCGGTCCCTGTACCTGAACACAACACATGAACAGGAGGGTGAACTGGGACCTTATGCTAATCAATAGAAGATCATAGGACTTATACTGAAAATTTGGTAGCATTAAATTAGTAAAATATAAGCAATTAACAAATGCATAATTTATTATTTTATTGGTCATACATACATACATATATATATATATATATTTATATATATATATACACACTGTATAGATGCCATAATTTTTTATGGAATAGGTGAAATAGGCATTTTGTAACTGTCTTGCATATAAAGGTCATGGGAAAGTCAAAAAACTTTGGAGTGGTGTTTAGTTGTAACCACAAGTCCAACCTGTTCGAGAACACAATGTATTTACCGTAATTTGTTTCTGTCTGCATATCTGCAAAGCTGTGTAACAATACTTCACATTGCAAGGTTGTAACTTGTTCAATTTATACCCTCAGACATCCTGTCAGGCATGAAAACACCAGCAGATGTTCCTGTCTTACCTGTCCACCATTGTAGCCATACTGTCCATAAGTGAGACAGCCTTGCTGACCATTCTGTCTCCTGTGGCCTCAGAGGCTTCCTGGTCCTCTGTGGTCCTCCGCAGCAGGCTTTCTGTCAGCTGCAGTCTACTGGAAACCACCTGTAAACGTGCATGGTCAGAAATGGTGTGTTTAGCACAATTTGTAATAAATGGATTTTAATTTTTATATACAGAGCATTAGAAAATGCGTAACTATGTCTCGCAATTTCCACCTAAACTTTAGAAAAAGAGTTGAATGCAAATTTTAGGCAATGACTTTTGGGAAAATATACAACCTAAGATTTTTATTCCTGTCACAGAACTCCCTAGACTTAATCAGGTTATCACGCGTTTCTTATCTAACTGCATCTTTTACATGCCAGTCATGTATTTGTTATAAAACATAATTCAAGTGAAACCATCCGTCCTTTTTTTTCAAATTGTGTATTTGTCACATTTTCCTTGTTGTTACTCATAAAAGAAATACATCCCAGTTGTCCTTATTTATCATTCTGCATTCTAATTGTGATTTTTCTTTCTTCGGGTTGACAAGTCAGAGCAATTTATTCCTTTTGCACATTTTAACGTAAAGATATTGTGTAATATTCTACGACAAAGGGCATTAACCGTTTACTTTCACTTTCAATCTCTTTTGTTAAAGTGTTTGCTTTGTAATTGAACAAATTTGCTTCATAAAGTTACTTACAAAAAGCTGCTTTAGTTTTGTTTTAGAAGCTATTTGTTATAACTTGAATGATAAATAATGATATATGCAATGTACCTTGTTTCGGCTCTCCAGGGCTCGTCTCATCTCTTCTTCGGCCACACTGAACGTGAGAACATCGTGGTTCTGGTGATGGCCCTCCACAAAGCATGAAGTGCACAGAGATGTCATGTCATTGGAACAAAAGTACTCGAGGGGAAGTTGGTGGATGGAACAGCTCCTCGACCCCAGCTCGATCTGGGGATCCACCAAAGAGTGGCTCCTGAAGGATTCCTTCTCGTTGTGCCTCTGAAGATGCCTGGAGCACAGAGAGACTTCACACTTCACGCAGGTCTTCACTGCATGCAGTGGGTTGTCTATGCAGTGGTCGCAGAAAACCGTAGGTTTGTCTGAATCAGGTTCCGACTCAGCCACAATCTCTTCATATACCGGTATCTGTGATGTAGTGGCAAGGTAACCATCAACAATGTTAGAAAGTTTGAAGTTCTTCTGCAAATTATCCACACCCTGATACTCTTCGCGACACTCTGGGCATCGTGGAAGCATTTTTTTGCCAATGTCTGTAGATTCAGCAGTCTTGAAGATACAAGCTTGGCAGTAGTTGTGCCCACAAGGGAGAACCACCGGCTCACTGTAGAGCTGAAGGCAGATGGGACAGCTTAGCTCCTGGGCAAGTTGCTCCGCTGGTTTGGATAAAAACATGATGAAAGTTGAAGAGATTTCTTTGCTTCTTTTGTTTCTTGCTGTTGATATCTCTCTTGTCACTCTTCTTGACTAAACCTGCTATGCAACACACTTCTGCTCTTGAATTAGATCTTTACCTCCCATCTAGATTGATGCAGGAGTTACTGCGTTGACAGACCGGCAAGCAAAGCAGACGAGGAAGTTTGAAGCTTTTTAGAATAAAAGTAGGTGGTTCCAAACTTGTTTGCAGGGCAACATTCCATTCCAAGAGGCCCGTTTGTGTGTACTGCCAGGAAGTCACACCGGTATAAGGGCCGCTGTTGATGGTGATGATTTGTTTAAAAAAAAAAAACTGAGTGACAAGGGTCTTTTGTACTGGAAACCATCTGGAACATAAAAAACTATGGTACAAGTAAAAGTTAATCCATCCATCTATTATCTTCCGCTTGTTCTGAAGTCAGGTCACGGGGGCAGCATCTTGAGGAGGGAGGCCCAGACATCTCTTTCCACAAGCACCTCTTCCAGCTCTTCTGGGAAGATTCCAAGGTGTCACCAGACCAACCGAGAGACGTAGTCTCTCCAGCATGTCCTGGGACTTCCCCAGGGTCTCCTCCCAGTCAGACATGCCTGAAGCAACTCCATATGAAGGCGCCCAGAAAGCATCCTTACCTGATGCCTGAACCACCTCAACTGGCTCCTCATGATGTGGAGGAGCAGCAGATCTATTATGAGTCTCTCCTGGATAACTGAACTTCTCACCCTATCTCTAAAAGAGAGTCCAGCTACCCTGTGGATGAAACTCATTTCAACCACCTGGATCTGCAATCTCATTCTTTCTGTCACTACCAAGAGTTCATGACCATAAATTGGGGCAGGTAGGAACATAGATTGACGGGTAAACAGAGAGCTTCGCCTTACAGCGCAGCTCCCTCTTTACCACAACAGACTGGTACAGAGTTCGCAATACAGGAGAAGCTGCACCAATCCGTCTGTGAATCTCACGCTCCATTCTTTCCTCAATCATTAACAAAACCCCGAGATACTTGAACTCCTCCACTTAAGGCAGAACTTCCGTAAAAGTCAATCTAAAGGATACATTGGATTTTATCTTGGATTTTTTTTTTTTATATGGCTTAACAAAAAGTAAAAATATGTATTTTAAATCAGGTAACAATGCCATTTTTGCGTTCATTGTGAGCATAAAATGAGTTTGTTGTTGCCTTTCTGCACTTTCACAGTAAATGGGGGAAGGTGACATCGTACACACCAGTAAACTCTAACACTCTGCATTTTCCTGTTGTCTGTAAGCACTGCTAATGGTGGAGATGCTCCATACTTTAACCTCAGAAAGTGTTGTCAGAGTTTACCAAAGAAACTACACTATAAAGAGAAAAGTTTTGTCAAGGTGTCCAAACACTTGACTAAAGGTCAAAGGCATTGGGAAAAATCGAGTCACCTTTAAATTTAGAATTCTGTTTGTTTCCAAATTAACCAATAACTCCAGGTATTGTTTTCTTTTTGTTTTCTTTTTTTTTTTTTTTTTTACAAAAAACAACAAATAGAACCAAAGACATTATCTATATGCCAGAGACACACCAGAGTTATTTTTACATGATATGAAGAAAAACAAGTATGTAAATCAGTATTCAAACTGTAATGTAAAATCATGTAGATATTTTTCCATTGTATTACTCATGGATTCACTTCTAATGTGTCATTACTCACAGTACCATGCAGTTAGAGGAACACAATGGAGTTTGATCTAGCTAGCTATCATATCACAATTTTAATGGCCATCAGAAACTGGCTGATCCTGCAAGTCAAGATGTCAGACATGATTCCTCTTGGGAATTTTGAAGCTCTGTTAGAAAGATAGATTCATTTCTGTCACATGATTTACAGCAAATACAAAGTAGTAATGGTGGGATAAAAATGTCTGCTTTAAAGTTTAAATGAATATGTTTTTAAGGAAATTATTAGTTGATTTTATTCAAAATTTGTTGTGTGTTTAGTCTGGATTGTTTGAAAAAAAATCTTAGTTCTAAAAAAAGTCTATATTTATTTTTGCTTTTTTATTTTATTTTTCCTCAGTATTCTATGGATACTTTTTCCCCAAGTGCAAATATAATCATAGGGCTATTGTTTAATTTTTTGTTTTGTTATTTTTGTGTTAAATTTAGTTTTTCTTCTTTTCATCTCTGCCATTAGTCACTTCTTTCCAAGTATTTTCCACGGTTGGTCTCTGCTCCTCAGTCCTGCCATGCCCAGTTACACCTGTTCTCAGTTATCAGTTGGCCCAGGTGTCCCACTCTTCTCAGCAGTCCCAGACCATAAGTTCCTCAGCTTCACCTCACTCTCCAGTTGAGCATTGGTTATTTTCATGCCACTTCCAGTTCTCCTTTAACATCCTTGTGTCTCTTCATCCCTTATCATTAGTTTATGTATGTTCTTCTGCCACGTCAGCTTTTGATTTAACAAAAAAAAATTGTTTTGTTTTCTCAAGTTCCTTGTGTCAATCTGCATCTTTGGATTTAGCCTCCTTCAATGGTAACACTTTTTATGTCATGGCAATTGCTGTGCTACTGTAGTAACGAATGACAAAATAGCATAGTTTCTTTTACCTATGGAACAAATTGTGAAGTAGCTTGCTTTGAAAATACAGTAAAATGAATATAAATCAAGCTATGTGTAATCCATCCAGCTAATATACACTCAGCTCTAATCATGGAAAATCTACAGCTTTAGGGAAAAGCCACATTTAGGAAAAACCAACAATCAAAAATCTTAGACTCACCAGTTCACCAACTGTATGCATATTTGTTTAATGTACTTGTATATTTCTAAATCATCGTGGTTTCTAATACCAAAATATATTTAATTTGAACAAATTTAGATCCACACTTTAATTTAATTCTTGCAAGAGGGTGTTGATGTTCTAGAATTGCGCCGCTCAAGGTGGCTGCATGTTGGAGCAGCTCTGTTACTTTCATTCTGAGATTTTACTTTTGGAAACTTTAATTCCTCTTTTTCTGGATGTAAATCACATTTTTTGGATAATTGTTTCCTCTGGTATCAGATGCTGTGCAGCTGGAAGGATTTTTACTGAAACTTTTTTAGTTTTGGACATTTGTTATGATGCGTAACCATGGCAACAAGGCAGTTCTCTACAACCAACAGCAGCTGATTAACATCTCAAAAGCTCAAATATTATCTCAACTACAGCCCCAAATCTCAAGTGAGTTGAAAAGGATGTTCTGTGGACGCATTCTCATCTACCTGCCAGCTGTGCTCGAGTGCCTGACCACTGAGATCCTGGAACTAGCAGGAAACACGGCTCATGATAGCGGAAGGACAGGTTCGTCTTTCGGCACCTACAGCTGGCTGTCCGCAGCTACAAGGAGCTTGGCAGACTGCTGGGAGGAGTGCCCATCGCTCTGGGAGGAGTTCTGCCCAGCATTTGGGCGGTCCTACAGCCCAAAGGGAACCGAGAGGCCAGCCGAGTCTGGGTGGACGGATCGGACGACATCTGCAGCCAGTGTCTTGGGATCCACTGTGGGATGGACCTTTACAAGAGATCCTTCCTGTCTACAGCATCAGTATCTATAGCATCTCTTAATGAAATGAGGATAACGAGTTACAACAACAAATAATTTCCCTCTGGGATTAATAAAGTATTTTTGAATTGAATTGAATTGAATTGAACACATGAAGACAGGTGTACAAGATGTTATATGAAGCCCTGATCACAAGGTCTGCCTGCAGACAATGAGTTAGTAAAAGCTTAAATACCTGTTATCAGACAGAGACAAGGTCAACACATGACCTCTGCTCACAGCTCACAGTTGTTGAAGGCATCAAAAGCTAATAGTTATCAGACTCCTCTCTGAGAGACAGAAAGACTCTTGACTTCACATGCATGGTTCTATATGAATTTCACATTAGTAAGTGAAAACATCCATGACCTTTACATAACTTCCCCCAACTAACTTTAAAGGTATATTTATATCTCTGGGCCTCAATGTCAAAACACTTTACAAATTGTAAGATTTATGAAAAAATACTTGATACCTAAAAAAAATTCTGAAATACAGTTTATCAGTAATAAATGTTTAAATACATCATAATTTTCTTATCATAAAGAAAACAAATGTGAGAACATGTACTATAGTAAGAAAGCTCTCTGTTGTACTTCCCTTGCAGGTCATGTTACCTGTTCAAGCGGAAGGTATTAGTTTCTGAGTTACATTTGATTATTTTCTAACTTCTTAAAGAAAAAGACTGACATCTCATTATGTGAGTTTGTTTTAATGAGGTGTTTTAACTCAACTATAAACAGTTAATGAATATGAGCATTTTATCAGTTATAATAAACTTTTACTATCCAAGAACACAAGCATCCCATTTGTCCTCAGAGTTGAGTTAGCAGTTAGCCTTTTACTTTTCTCTTCAATGAACCCTCTTGCCTTACACGAGACTTTGCTGAGTTCTTTGAATCCAAATATTTTTCATCATGTCTCACTGGAATTGTTTTTTCAGTTCCAGTAATTATTTTGTCTTTGTCTCTTGCTCTGCTGAACACTGGAACCGCCTTGTTTTATTTGTGCCTCGTTGTACCTTGAGTCAATGTTCCAGTCGTTTGTTCTTTGCGTTTCTCTACCAGACGTTCGGTCTGATTAAAGACAGGGATGTCAACGTTCACTCTGAAACGTGCACTTCAGTTTGGTGAACGTTCTGACCTGACTGTGTTGTTAGCTGTCGGGTCTGTGTGATCGCTGCAGCCTCTCACTTGTCATCATTATGTCTGCTTTTTGCAAGGCTCAAAGGATTTGTCCGCTTAAAATCATTTTACTTTCTACTTTTTGTTTTGTCTTTCAGACGCACTCATCTGAGGCAACATATTGGAGTTTGTTTTTTTAACTTTTACTTCACATTTATATCTAAACCTTCTCTTTTCTACACTGTCAGACATTTATCTTTGCAAACTGATGACGCTGATTTGAAATAGATTTATACTTTTACCAGAAACCATACGATATTAAAATCTAATG